AGGTGTTTAGTGTTTTTATTTTTTTTAAACAAAGAAACAATAATACATACTGATAAAATAAAAATGGTTGTGTTCAATCTGTTTCTTGATTCACTTGTTGGAAAGCCTTTGCAAGCAGTTTAGTTGGATTCTGTGCTAGATAATAAAGGTTTAAAATGATTTCATTTCTAAATCTTATTTTTAATTGTGAGTTGGAGACTGACTTTGAGAACAATTTAAGTTGAACTTGTTTATTTCCTTGTCATATAGGGGATATTTAGGAAATTTTTGATGAAAATACTTTTCTTCTGTCTGCAATATTTCTTCTTTTGTAATACAAGTGAGTGACAAAAGGCTTTGGACTAAATCCACCTACCAAAATTAGTATTTCAGTAATTGAGCATCAGAATTTGTTTTTCTCTTTCTTTTTTTTTTTTTTTTTTTTATGTGGGGTTGAGTTAAGAAATTTTCTGTACCTCCCCCCCACCTTTGTGTTGGTAATAGAACCAAACATAACATTAAATTAAAAAAGCATTACTACAGAAAATTTTATGGGAATTTGATTATCGGTGTCAGACTCAAACATGTAAAGCAAACAGTAATAGGTAAAATATTGTCTGGCACGATTTTCTATATCTCTGTTTCATGATTGTAATTGATGAATTGAGTTGAAAAACATTCAGTCTTCATTACTATAAGTGATCTGGGATTGCAAAGGAAAGCATTATGGTGGCCAACACTACCTTACGTTAATTGATTGCAGCCCCAGTTGATTTGCAATATGGCGACGCCTGCTTCAACAAGACTCAAGAAGTGTCATTTGGCAGTTGGAAAGTATTTTTTTTTTTTTGAATGAGGCCCACCATCAGAAATCCTGACCGACAATGACACTGCATTTCGCAGTAAGTCCTTTAAAGATTTCTTGGATGACTGGGGAGTCCAACTTTGTTTTCACTGTGCCTATGTTCCTGCAGGAAACAGTATAGTGGAAAGATCTCATCAGAGCATAAAGCGAATTGCAGCAAGAAAGCAGTGTTCGATAATGGAGGCAATATACTGGCATAATATCACGCCGAAGGATGATATATCGTCGACTAATGCGCCTGCCAATATGATTCACCGTTACCAACTGAAAGTGAAGGGAATTACTACAACATTACCACCTGATCGTTGTAAGCATCACGATATATACAAAGTTAGGAACAGAGTATAAGTGAAAGCTCCCCATGGCTGATGTACCTCCAGGTATCAAGTGGGTCACGTGACGGGCATTGTAAGTCCACAAACAATAATAGTTGACAGGATGCCACGGCATGTAAAAGATCTTCGCGTTTTCGTTGATTCTGATACATCGCCGAGCGAATCCGATGATGGTTCATTGTCTGACAGTGATTGAATAATTGAGATCTGTGAATCCGATGCTTCCACAGATGCAGAGCTTCCGGTAACTCGTGATACGCCTGATGACTTCTCAGGAGATGACTCCCCGACATGCATAAGGGAGATAATTCCATTATGACGAAGCACCAGGAGAAAGAGAACTGCTCCAGGCTGTTCAATTTGTGATAATGAGATCAGGGGAGAGTATAGCAAAGAAAACATCGACTTACCTCATCAAACCAAGCAACAGCATGTCGTGTGTATCCTATGATGGAAAATGTGGTGAAAAAGAAAATTACTTACCAAAAAAAGGGCACGTATTCCGCATGACATGCTGAAGACGGAATATTGAAATTAAAAACCAAGTCCATCGCAGGAGTCGCTATACAAGTATTTTGATATGCAAAAATTGGCCGTCCTCTCCTAGTTGTCGACAAATGGAAAAAAAAATGCTCAGCCGATAAAAGCAGTTGGTGCTCTTGAATTGAGGAGAAGTTGGGTATTTTGGCTACTGCATTTATTGGAAAGTGAGTTATTATTCTGACTGGTTGTGTGCATTGTGATCTGTGAGATAGTACCTGCGAATCGAGTTTTTGGCATTTCTTTCTGTCCCCGATGTTCGAGTCTGAATTTAGTCATTTATTCTCTGCATTGTGGAAATAATCTGTGACAAATATTTCCTTTGTAGTCCCAGATTGCTTACAATTATAGACTTTAGTAAGTAGAAAATCTGTGTTGGAAATTACTTGCATTTTGAGTTTCTGTGGAAATTCTAAATGAGGCCCAAACAAGAGAGAATAGATTTTGACTCTAAAGAAAAATAATAAACAATGAAGCACATCCCTTTTTTTTTTTTTTTTTTTTTTTTTTTAAATCTTATGGACTGTCGCTATAGAATCACAAAGAAAGAAATTTACCAAATAACAGAGTTGGCCTTACTTGAGGACTTTCAACAGCAGCAAGAACTAAAATGGATAACACATGTAACTTGAAGAGAAAATAATGATATAATAGGTATGTTGACATTTAACATTACTCCAAATAAAAGGTTAGGAAGGAAACCCTGTCAATACTGGAAAGAGTGATAACAGCTACTAGACTGGTGAAACTTATTTTCCTGAAAAAATATTTTAAGAGAAAGATTTTATAAATTTCAACTGGAAGCAATATTGGCTGCTTGGTCAATAAATTTCAAATGTTTCCTTATAAAGAAACATCTAATATTACAATTATCATTATTTTAAAATCCTTTAAATGAATTTTGGATCACATTTAATTTAAATATCTGGAGGCAGAGCGAATTTTTTAAGTCCTTATATTTTTAGCATAAATTTATGAACCATTTTATCTCCTGTAGAGTGTGAGTTCAACTAGTTCTACATATATAATGTGAGCTTAGATTTATTTATTTTTTTATCCAATTTCTTACATCTAATATATGAGACTTGGTTTGTGTGTCTGTCCTAATCCCTGAAGATTAATTATATATAAAAATGAGGTATCTATGAGCATATACTATATAAAATTGTAACTGGGATTTTTAGCTTTTCTATCTGGACGGCACATGTCTTATATCTTGTCCAATTTAGTTATATCCATTAAGCAAGAATGACTAATTTGCATATTCAACTTCAAAATATTTTCAAGATAACTATCCTGTAATCCATTTCCAGTTTGATTTTTTGTTATGAATTTTATAATTAAATTGCTTAGTTAATTAAATAAATGTTCTGTTCTAAATGTGATAACCACCTTAGCATTTAGATCACAGCTTAGGTGTAAAGGGAAGTAAGCCATATATAATGGCTTCTGCCCCCCTCCTCCCGCCAACTGACTACATTTGCCCAGTTGAAAATGATCAGTCATAAATTACTTCAACTGTAATCAAAATAGTCATCAGTAGAGGAGGCATGGTGGCGTAATGGATAGCAGCTTGGATTGAGAAATCGGAGAGCAAAGTTCAAAATCCAGTCATCCATTACGTTCACTTACATGCTAATACCCTTGAGAAAGGCATGAATCCTCTTCTCCTCCCAGCTATCAGTAAATAGCAGGACAGACCGGGTTCTATAGCCTTGAATGGCAAGTAGTCTACCGCAGAAAGAAATGGCAACCTACTGCAGGGAAAAAAATCATCTAAGTGTGTATCACGCATGGCACATAACTGACTGACTGTTTGTAAGGACCTGTCCATTAGATTGGTATGGTTTCTTGGTAGAAAAATTTAGAAGAAATTGGATTTTCTGGAAAAAAAAAAAATTGGGCCCAAATCAATGACACTTGTAGTTTGTTTATATAGACATATTCACCAGTTGTCTTGTAGGAAGAATAGCTTTTGGGAAGGTTGGTTTTAAAAATTTTAGTTAAGTGACAAAAGACCATATCATCAATGGTCAAATCCTACAACTACATCATTGGTGACAAGGCAGCAAATTGAGTTGCCATATAAATGTGTTAGCTAAATAAAGTGCACAGCCTTCAAAAGCATAAATAAATAAAAAAAAAAAAAAAGAAACTGCAGAGATGAGAGTTTTGTAGTCTGACAAAAGCAAGTTGAACCTCTCACAGCTTTCTCTTCTACTAACATTGTAATTGCAAATGAGTTATTCAGTATTCAGATCCCTCTTCTGGAGAAAGGAAAATGTTTGTTTGAAACACCTATGTATGCAATAATGAAAATAAACTACATCTTGCTGATATTTATTAAAGTATTCTGATTTTCTTTGTCATCATTCCAAGAATTTGATCAATCTTGGGTATTTGTCAGCTTTAGTTTTGTGCGACATGTGGCTGGCTTTGATCTGCAAAGTTTCAACCCTAATCTTCTCACTTCTTCAGACCTCAGTCTATAGGTGGAAGAGTCTCCTGTCTAGGATATTTTTTAACAAATGACCAGAACATGATCATCTCACCTATAGTTCTACATTAGATGTCTGCAGCCAAAAATCTTTTTATTTTATATATATATATATATATATTTGAATTTTTTTTTTTTTTAAGTGTTTCATACAATACAAGGCTCACGTCATACAGGGTAGAGGATTACAGTTTAAATAGTAATGTGTGATATGAATGGAAGATTATGTTGGTACTGAAAAAAGATAATTAATTCTTGACTTAAAGAGGTCAAGATTGAAGCATGTCGGGGTCAACACCCATGTGGGAGTCTGTTACACAAAGTACAGTTCTTAGAGGAGGTGCTATCTGAGTGGAACTTATATTTGGAACATTGTGGAAATGGCATGGTGTGTCCTAGCTGTAAAGTTATGAAATGGTGGAACTAAAGAATAGAACTTGTCTAAGAGATTCCAATCACCTCCATCAATTATAGTGTTGAAGCCAGTGACTAGAATACTCTAGATTATCATCTCATCCCAAAAGCCCAGTCATAGGGTTATATTTGGTTATTATAACTGGGATTATCCCAGTGACAGTATTGTATAATACTATTTTCTCTAGTTGCATCCCAGAAATTCAGAATGGACTTATCCTGTTCAATACCAGGTGTCCTTGCTAGTCTCACTAAATCAAGAAAGTATTTTGTTTTTTTTAAATAGTCTTTATCTTATTCATATTGTTTGTAAATGTTGAATACATTTAAAAAATAATTTGTAATATTTTACAGATTTCTCAGGGAAGAAATGCCGACCACAAAGAGAACAGTGTTGGTTACAGGTTTGTCTGTATTTTCTATCTTCTCTGAATTAACTTTTTATTTTAAAAACAAACCTGTATATATTTTGCATTTATTTTAAAAAAATTGTCTGATTACATTAAATGTATCTCCTTTTATGTCTTACTCCTACCTAACTTTTTTCTCACCCCTCCCAATCTTATATTAGGTGTATCAAATTTACCTTGGTAGCTCAATTAGCAATGAAGTTAGGATGATTCAGAGCTTGTCAATTTTGGATCTTGTGTGCTATCATGCCAGAAGCCAAATTCAACAGTGTATAATGGAAGACACCAGCTTCAGATGATTTAAAAATCATTATAAAACTAATATCGTATAAGTTGTCTTGAAATAAAAGAAATATAATACTAATAAAATCAATAATTATTGGAATAAACCAGCTTGAAAATTGAGGAAAAATTGCATTCTCAAAAATGAATGCTTTATGCTTATCTTCCGTAATGGCTTAAGAAAAAAATTACAAAAAAGACAATGCATGTTTGCAAAAGTTAAAAAAACTATAATGAAATGTATTCATTTTGAAAAAAAATGTAACAATTTCATTTTAATCTCTAAAATAGGACCTCATCCCTAGAATTATAAAACAATTTAAAAAAAAAATTACTTTTTGAAAATGACATCCTTACATTCTAATTTTTTAATTTAAAACATATATATAATTATTTTATTAATTATATTATTATTATATATAATTATTTATTTGAAAATTATAACATAAACATGTTATAAAATCACTACAAAAATAGGCATTTTTGTTTCAACACTTCTGGTGTCTTATCAAGTGATGGTGTTGAATAAAGGGTTTTAAAAGGTTCAAATCAATCAACCATCCCTCGCAAGGGGAAACGCTGTTACATAAGCTGGAATGACCAATCAAAATATAAGTTTATGAGAATTCAAAAAACTTGACAATGAACTAAGGTTATAATAATTATTTAATGCTTTAATGTTAAAGTTAGACTTAAGTAGAATTCATTCTAACTAATAAATATTATACTATAAAATTTAATATTAAAAATTACCAATTTTAAATTTAATCTATTTTAAGATTAAAATTATAAAATTATTTAAAGAAGAAACTGAGGAAAAAATACATGTTATTCTATTTATTTTGTTTTTATTGAAATTAAGTTGGTATAAATGTTAAGATCCAATGCTGCTCTGAACTTCATGACAACGTAGATACATTTGAAGCAAGAACATGGGTAAGGGAGGATAAAATCTTGCAAAAGACAATACATACATAATCAGATTATTATACATAAACATGCAGAAGTATTTAGATATATAAAAACTCAAAAAAGTGATGAGAAATATCTCCATGACCCTTAAAAAAAAAACAAAAAAAAAACAACAACATACATATACAATGAAAGGCAAGTTACCATATGCACAGACACCGTGACAAAGACACATACATACACACACATACATTGACAAAGACACGCCAATAGACCCACCAAGAAATATTCAAGTTTGCAATTAAACAAATTCTAACCTCTTATTAAAATATAACTTATATGGGCAAAGATACATAGATAAAAATGGTAAAATAGATAAAATTCAACATGGGCAGAACAGAATAACAAACATTAGGGAAAAAGGACACTAAAACATATAGACATGGACAGAAAAATAGATATATATGCATAAAAATAACACCATCTAATATATAAAAAAGAAAACTCCAAACATACAAATATTTCATGTGTACCTATATACACACTAGTGCACATACATGAAAAATACAAAAATATAACAAAATGTGAAAGAAAATAAAAAATACATACAGACATATATGTACACACATTCTTCACTACAGACAGAAACACAGAAAAGCATACCTACAGACAAACATATACAAATAGGCGCAGAAACACCCAAACATACATATGTATACATATACAAACACACGTGTATATATATATATATATATATATATATATATATATATACACACACACACATACACACATATTCTAACAATATTATCTTAGTGACGATAAAGAACTGTAAAGTTCGTACAAGATTAAAATGTAAAGAGACACAACTGTTGAATATTAAATCTATAAGCAATTATAGAACCATTATGAAACAAAAGTAGATTTTAGTTCGTATTGATGATGCATTCCAAGACACTAAGAGATGTATATATGTGTGTGTGTATATATATATATGAAGACATACACACATACCCCCCCATATATATATATATATATATATATATATAGCATACTGAGAAGCCACGTATACTTTCTTAATATGTATATATAGAAAAAGTTTCAAATTGAAAATTATAATGTTTTATTTTATGAAAGTATTATTGATATTTCAAATTGTCCTCAATTTTTCATCAGAAATAACTGTTTGTTACAAATAAATTAAAATCAATGTTTGTTAGCAAGTAGCGTCCTTTGAGACGCGGACGTCACGTGATATGGAACGTCACTGTTCGGATATTCCTAACTTAAATCTAACTGTCATAAATATTTAAAAAAATTTTTTTACTATATCTAAAAAAAAAAATTGCTTAACTACTGAAATATTTATAAAGATTTAAAACACCTAAGTCCCTATTCAACCCTAGTTTATGTGTATTTAATTTTAAAATCCAATATGTTTCTTTTTTTCTGCGTGTGAATGTGGAAGTAAAATCGGAATCTATTAATAAACATTTGCAGTTTTCTAATGTGTGACCTGATTGTAGTGTTTAGCTATGGGGGAATAAAGGTTGTTTTGACGTATTGTTTGTTTATGGTTATTAAAACGAAATCTAAAATTGTTTCCAGACTCACCAATATATTCACTATTAGGACATAAGTTGCAGAATAAATAATAGATTACGTTATGGGTATCGCAGGTGAGGTTAGGTGGCTGTATTCTGATATTGGTGTTGGGTACGGAAAATGTATTAGCTATTATTAAATGTTTGCAAACTAAGCAACGAGGTTTGTTACATTTGTAATTTCCTGTTTGGTTTCTATTGTTTAGATATTTGGTAGAGGTGAGGATAGCTGATAAGTTAGGTGATTGTTTCATTGCATTTATGGGTGGTTTATCAGAAATGTCTTTGATCTTGTTGTCTAATTGGAGGTTCTTGTAATCATTTTTTAATTTGTGAATAAGTGTGTGGGAATATTGATTGTGGTTAAAAACCATGGGAACCGATTGTTGTTTTTATTTTTCTTGTATGTGAGAAGTGTGTTACGATTTATCAGGATAGTTTTATTTAGTGCTTCTTTTATTATTTTATTGGGTATTTGCATTTTTAGGAATTGTTTTGTTAAGTTATTAATGTTGTATAGAAAATCTAAATGGTCTGAGCATATGCGTTTGATTCTTAGAAATGAGCTGTATACAATAGATTTTTTAATTTAAAGGGATGACAGCTGTTAAAGTGCAGGAATTTATGTTGGTTTGTGGGTTTGTTGTATAGACTGGTAGAAAGTGTATTTTTGTTTAATTTTATCATAACGTCTAAGAAAGGGATGGATGTGTATAAGTGCTCCATGGTAAATTTAATTGTATCGTGGAAATTGTTGCAGAAAGTGAAAAGGTTTTTAATTTTTCTGATCCATGAGTCCATAGTAAGAAAATGTCATCAATATATCTAAAGTAATGTGATGGTTTATATTCTGAATTGTCTAGTATCTTCTTTTCTAGAATGTGCATAAAGATATTAGCATAACTAGGTGCCATTTTTGTGCCCATTGCTGTGCCACTAATCTGTAAATAGTGTTTGTTGTTGAATTTAAAATTATTATGTGTTAAGATGAAATTTATTAATTGGCATATATCTGTAATTTGGTAGTTAGGTAATTTTTTGTTACTAAGGAACTCATAGCAAGCTGATACTCCTTCAACATATACACATAGACACGTACATGCAGGCACATACCTAAGTTTACACACCCACACAAACAAGCACACATATAACAGTTATCAATACACACACACATACACATGCATACATACTGAAGTACACGCAAATAGAAATATATACATACACACACCGACATATATACAAATTTCCCCTCTTCTCTTCTTCTCTTCCTTTTTTTCCCTTTCCTTTCTTTTTATAAAAAAAACCTACACACACACATTTATCACTAAAAACACACACACGTGCAGACACGAACAACAGAACTACACTAGCACATACCCACATCGGTAATAAAAGTAATAACCTACTAAACTTGCAGTAACATTTCTTTATCATTGAAAGTATTACAACCCCTAAATTTATAGCTGTGTTTACAATTAATGGTTAGTTCATTTCTTTGATTTAAGAGATGGGTCTTATTTTTAAATCTAATTATTTCAAGTTTTTCATTAAGACATAGATAACAAGGGGCATATAGGGAATTATATGTTTGGGCTCTCTTGATTAATTTCCATTTAACAGTAGTTGTTTTATTCTTCTTTTTAAGACTCCAAAAGTACTTGGATAATGAAGTCTTATACTTACTACTATTGAAAGATTGCATATCTCCCCACCAATGTTCTTTAAATGAATTCATAGTGCTACCAATGTAAAATTTTTTGATATTTGGGTTTTCTAGTGTAGAGATTGTACTAAGGTAAACTAGAGAACTAGCTAAACAATTATTCTGTAATGGACAATTATTTGGATTCCTTCAATTGCATAAGTTGTTATTCGTGTCATTATACTTACTACTTGCAACCTGGTCAGTAGTCAAGTTTTTTTGAGTCCCTATACTTGTTGAAGACTCTTGTTATGTTTCTTAATTATTTTCTCTAGGTTATCTGCACTGCTATAGCTTAATTTAAGGATATTAGGATCGAATATGTTATTAAGTTGGTTAGTTTCGGGGTCAGGGAAATGTTTCTTGATGAGGTTTAGAAATTTACTTCCTTGTTTAGTTTTAACCATTATATTGAAAGTGGGAAGTAAACCAAATGATCTTCCTAGATCTTCTTTTCTTATTATGGTCATAATTAACAGTTTCTATATTGAATA